GACACTCAGTACAGGTACCATGAACAACCTTCCTAAACACTTCCTGTAAACCAAGATCTAATGTTTACATTTCCTTGACCGGTGTATAGTCGCCACATGGGCAGTCGGACTCCAGGACAACCCTCCCACATACCTAACCCAATAATGCACTGACACTCGGGTATATGGGAAAATTTGTCCACAGCTTTATTAAACAATCTGAATAATAATAACCATATATTCAATATAACATAATAATAGTAATAATTTAACAAATAAACATGGGTCATTGCCCCCCATACTCCGCCCTCGCATCTGATTCCTTCTGTTAATATAAAAGGCAATGACCCCCATATAAATAACACATATATATATATATATATATACCAACATTATTCCAACATACCAACTTAAAGTGCCAACATAAATTTAACCATGGCAGGGGTATACCCGGATACTCCTACCCCACCAGGTTCTGAGTCACCGACAGGACTCAAAACCTACCAACCACCAATGACCACAGTTTTCCATATCTGTCACGTTCATCCTAGGGAGCCTATTCCTTCTCCTTCAGTAAATGCTTTATACCGTTCTGCTATTTCCTGCCATTCTTATTTTAAATTCTTTTCTCCAGCTTTTAATAAAGGGGAGAGTTTTGATGTTATTATGTGAGTAAAATTTTAAGTATATTCTTGATATAATTTTAGTAGGAGATTTTTTTATTTTTTTTTTATTTTTATAAGCAGCTCATTTCGAAGTCCGTCAGCCTCTGCCCATTTACATCTTACACTAGAGATTTGAAACGTTTAAGGCCCTGGGGAGATAGCGCAGACAAGGGCACATGTAGGAGTGTGGGGATAGATGCAGGAGATTGGTTGGGAAAGAGTGTGTGGGTGGGATTATGTTCTGTGTAAGTTAGTGTGGGGGAGGTCTTACCTTAGTGCCACTTGGGATTCGGGCCAGCAAACAGCTTCCCTCCCGCCCGCCCTATTGGTATATTTAGTCACAGCTAGCCGGGGGTATGTCCTTGCCAATTGAGTTTGAGGGGTTACGTTTAAGTATATGGAATGAGATGAACAAGTTTTTAAGGTCTCAACCTCCCCTGTTTCAAAAGGTTAACATTAGGTTGCCTGAGGTTTCGTGCCCATCGAGCGTGGATAAGGTCGGCTGATGGCGGGCATTGGAAATATATGATTTTATGACGAGGGGGGAGGTGAGAGGAAGTGGTGATTAGGAACCACTGTATGTTTATTGGCAAGGACGGTTGGGTCACTGTATAACACTATGGGTGGAGTTATATATGTATATATGTTAATTTATGCTTATTTATGTCTAACGTTTTGGTTACAGAAAAAGAAGAGATTTAATAAATAAAGTTATGGATGTGTTATGCAGTAATTTAGTTTGTGATAATAAATGCTGTGGCCTGTTCATCCATACTAAGTGGTCTGTCATTATTGGGGGGTTGAATGGGTTTTGTTATAGGCTGCATCGCAATTCCCCACTACGTACATACATGTATCCAAGATGTAATCTGTGTATATGAGTAGTGTGCTATTGATTGGATATCATTTATAGTTTGTAGGAACCCTCCTTCTAAAAATGAGAAATTCTGGTTATTCCATGTCTGCACCAAATTGTATAGTTTAAACCTGCAATAATCAATGATAATGTTTCAAATGAGATTCTAAACGCTGGCAATGTTTGTCCCACATTGACAGTGTTCATTTCGTTATACCGAGTATTGACTATTTTGGTAATTTTCTTAAATCTTTCTGTAGCCATATGTGGCAAAAGTAACCTCACCACTGGTACTTGGAGGGGCCCACTTGCCCCAATATTATGGGCCCTGCAAAAAAAACTGATAAAATTTGACTTCCATGGAAAAACCAAACCACTGAACTGATCTAGGTGATAAATTGTGTGTTGTTCTGTACATGGAGATAATTATCTCTCAGACACAGAGAAGGAGTAAGTTGAATGTATTGCTTATCTGTGCCTCTCTCCTTCCCCCTTTTTCCTGTCCTATTGTTTATCCAGCAGGGTGTTGTCCCAGGGACACTGCCAGACCAGTTTAAACTGGCTGCTTTGGCCCTCCTCAATCTCCCATCAGCCCTTGTGCTATTATCTGACCCCACCCTTCCTTGTACTATAGTAATCTATGTAACCTATTGTATGTAAATTAGGCTGTTGGGGGTTTAAATGTATGTATAAAAAGTGCTGGCTTGCATTAAACAGACCTGCCTACCCCTTCATGAAGTATTGGCTCATGATTGGGGAACTACACTCTGGGGAGTAATCACAATACTCCCCTGAGTATAATCCCTAGCTCTTTTAAGAGGAGGAGAGGTCTTCCCACTGGGTGGAGGACATTGAGACCCCAACCAAGCTGCGGTGGTTCGTGGGGTCTACAGTGCTTATGGTGTCTGATGTGCTTGGAGCCCTCAGAAAGCACTAGAGGCATTGATTGGCGGAGGTACTCGCTAGGAGTGCCAGAGATCCATCACACCATACAAGAGAATCTATCAAGTTCAATGGGAAGAAAGTAGGTCTCGTAAAAGGATGAATTCTCAAAGAAAGGGCCTAACACTGGTCATTTATTTATACAAGGAAAAAGTCCATAAATAGGGGACCAAAATATAGGAGAGTCCATTACCAAAGGAATATTGTATGAATAGGTGACAAGTCTGTGCTTAATTGTAATGAATTTTAAGTTAAATTAAAAATAAACAAAATACATATTAATCATTTATCCTAACATATAAAAGAAAAGGGAACATATTTGAAAGGCCACTTACACACTTCCAATGCAATTAGTATTGGGAAAATCCCTCTATTGTTTGCTAGGACATATGTCTACCGTATCAGGGAAGTACTGACTACATTTCAAGATGAGTGGAACTATTACATCATAGTAATGACTGTAAGATAAGAATTAAAAGCCAAATCATGTGGCTGGAGCAGAAATAAAGTAACTTACTCTACATTGGTAGCAATCCCATATAAATTGTAACGGGGGAGAACTAAATCATAAAGTAGCAAAAGAGAGAAAGAAATGAAACCTATAAAATATAGCTCGCTAATCGGAAAAGGAAACCAGTATTAAACCTGCATATGAACTCCCATGCAGGGGCGGATCCAGAACCAAATCTCGGGAGGGGCACTTAAGTGGGCTAGAGCGGGGTGAAACAGGCTGCAGCGGAGGAATAGAGGCTGTACACATATGCGGCCACACACAGTGATATGGAAACACAATAACAGATACAGACACATACACTGGCACACCCACAGATACAAACCTATACCTACACAGGCACACACACACTGGCACATAGATACACACATACCTACACATGCACACTGGCGAAACCGCACACACACATCCCTACACATACACAGAATGACACACATACCTTCACATACACAGATACAAGGTAATAGAATATACAGGCATAACTCCAGGTACTGAAGGTGTATTTATTGGAGGGTAGAACAACGTTTCAGCCCTTGGGGGCCTTAATCATGTTTAAGTCCCTCTAGGGCTGAAAAGTTGCACTTTTATGTGGTGTTCTACCCTCCAATAAATACACCTTCTGTACCTGGTGTGTTGCCTGTATATTCTATTACCTTGTATTGTTGGACGGATTAGCAGTGTCTATCTAATGCAGAGCACGTTTGAGGCTGTGGGCCAGAGTGAAAAGCGGAACCTGAGTGCAGTGGACGACGACGTCTGTGGTACACACACAGATACTCACAGATACACATTAACACTCACAGATTCACACACTGACACTCCGATACACACAGATGTCCACATACCTACTGGATCCGCCACTGCTCCCATGCATCCATGCATGAGTGGATACGTCATATATGTACGCTTGCCTTTACTACAAATCTAAGTCCACACGGTTAATTCCCTAGTTGAGCTGAATCCTTCAAACCTAGTGAGAGCCACTCCTATTACCTCGGGACATAAAGCCTTCCACTAGAGATGTTCGGTGTTCGGCGATTTAATGGCGCGTTTTGAAAGGCTGCAGGGCAGCCAATCAACAAGCGTTTGACTCGTGTGCCCTTAGAAGCCATCACAGCCATGCCTACTAATGGCGTGGCTGTGATTGGCCAGTGCAACATGTGACCCAGCCTCTATATAAGTTGGAGTCACATGAGCTCTTATTAGTGTAGGGAGAGGATGCTTCAGCTGTAAGGGACAGATTAGGAAAGAATTCTGGTGTTGAATCTGCAAACTACAGTGATTATTTTTGTGGGTCCTATACTACATTTTTGTACCCTGCCCTGAGCCCAGTGCCACATAGAAATAAGCAATTAGTTTGTTAGGTGGGCACTTACAACTACATGTGTGCCAGGCACATTACTTTAATCCTGTTCTGGTAGCTCAGTGGGCAACATCTAGGCATTTTTAAATACTGCTGGGACATTGCAGTTTGACAAATTCACATTTTTTTGGTGCTAAAAAGTAAATTTAGGGCATGCACTTCATATCTGAGCGTTAAATAGAATCGTCAAATACTGCTGTGACATTGCAGTTTGACTAATTCACATTTTTTTGGTGCTAAAAATTACATTTGTGGGGTGCACTTCATATCTTAGAGTCAAATAGAACCGTCAAATACTGTGGTTACATCGCACTTTGAAAAATTCACCGCGCAGGAGCTGTGGACGGGCATGGAACAACAGACCGATGAGTGGTTGTTGCCACAGGGCCTCAAGCCCGGCCCGGTGGTGTGCGATAATGGGCAAAATCTTGTAGCAGTTCTGGGCCTAGCCGGTTTGACGCACATCCCTTGCCTGGCACATGTTCTGAATTTGGTGGTGCAGAAATTCCTGAAAAACTAACCAGATATATCAGGGCTGCTGCAGAAAGTGTGGGTCATCTGTGCGCACTTTTGGCGTTCTCACCCTGCTGCTCGCCTTTTTTTGTGCTGCAGCGTAACTTCAGCCTTCCCGCTCACCGCCTCATGCTGGAGAGACTGTGCGAGCAGCAGCAGGCAATAGTAGAGTTTCAGCTGCAGCACGCATGGGTCAGTCGCTCTGCACCAGACTTGCCCTCCAATAGATCCTCGTTAAAGGATTTAAAGTGTACTCATTCCAATTACAGGGCCTCGAAAGAGTCCTGTAGTGTTGTTTTTTGTCACTAACTTCCCACGTCGGGAGTGGGTAATTTGCGTGCCTGCTGCCTTCCTTGGATGTGGTAGCCATTTCTCAGGCTCCCTCTCCAGAATCGAACCCTGATTCCCCGTTACCCGTGGTCACCATGGTAGGCACAGAACGTACCATCGAAAGTTGATATGGCAGACATCCGAATGCGTCGTCATCAAGGGGACGTGTGATCGGTCCGAGGTTATCTAGAGTCACCAAAGTGCCTGTGCAATGACTGCCGAGTTGCCCACATTATAACTTGTGCTGATTACTGGGTGGCCACCCTCCTGGATCCCCGTTACAAGGACAACTGGCCGTCCTTAATTCCCTCACTGGAGCGTGATCGGAAGATGCGCGACTACAAGTGCACGCTAGTAGACGTGCTGCTGAGGGCATTCCCAAAGGACACCGGGGGCTCAGTGGAAGCACAAGGCAGAGGAGGAGGAAGAGGTCACCAGCGCAGCTGGGGCACTGCCAGCTCCTCAGAAGGCAGGGTTAGCATGGCCGAAATGTGGAAAAGCTTTGTCAGCACGCCATATGGAACGTCTTAGCAGGAGGCAGCATTTCAGCAACATGGTGGAACAGTACGTGTGCACACGCCTACACGTACTGACTGACTGGGTCTGCCTCATTCAACTTCTGGGTCTCTAAATTGGGCACATGGCCTGAGCTTGCCCTTTATGCCTTGGAGGTGCTGGCCTGCCTGCAGCCAGTATATTGTCTGAGCGTGTGTTTAGCACGGCAGGGGGCGTTATCACAGACAAGCGCAGCCGCCTGTCCACAGCCAACGTGGACAAACTGACGTTTATTAAAATTAACCAGGCATGGATCCCACCAGACTTGTCTGTACCTTGTGCAGAATAGACATTTATACCGGCCTCACCCAGCCATTTTTATACTCCAGTGCACTTATTCTTTGTTTTCTTTTTTTTTTATATGTCCCAATATTTTGGGGGCTACCCCAATTAAAAAATAAATAAAAAACAGTGTTGGCTACCTCCTCCTCCTCCACCGCTGCTTCCACATACACCGCCACGGTCACCGCCTCCTCACCCTATGGATCACTTAGTATAAACACTAGCACAGTTTGAACAATGAAAGAGAATACCCTGCACTCCAACCCTCTCTCAAATGGATAATTCTGGTGATCCTCCTGACAGCCATGCTTTAGATTTAGATTTATGTTCCTCCAAAGCTAAAATCAAAGATTCCATCTAGTGCTATTTTATGGCTCAGCTGTATTTTAAATTTTTATGTATTTTATGTTATTGTAAGTGATTTCCCTATCCACATTTGTTTGCAGGGCACTGGTCCTACTCTTACCCCCATTTTACTTTCTTCTGCAGCCCTTTAGCCGTTTTTCACGACTTTTTTAGAGCCATTTTTGTGCCCAAAAGTTCGGGTCCCCATTGACTTCAATGGGGTTTGGGATCAAGTTTGAGCCCGAATCCGGACTTTTTTTTTTTAAGTTCAGCAGAAACCGCCGAACCCGAACATCCAGGTGACCGCTCAACTCTAGTTATCACACATCAATAGTTTGTTTATAAAAAACAAACAAACAGTTTTTAATGTATATTTCTTGTGTGAGTAGCAGAATTTTCAAGTAAGGGTAATTTAAACACAAACCAACTGTGAATCTGCACATAGCAATTACTATTAGCTAAGTTAAAGTCAGACTCATAGCAAGAGGAGGAACAATGACTGAAACATCACATATTTCCAGCAGCACAACAATCAAATGAAGATCCAATCAATCTTGTAGACCATGTTACTTCATGCTTGGAGTGCGTTAGGAATTCAACAATTCCCAAATGCACAACTGAATATTAATATCCGCTTCAGAAAATCTTATTGTATTAGAGATCTAATCAGTGTTGGTTACTGATAAATGACTGAGTCTGAATCTGAAATCACAGCAAGGACTTAAAGTTGCAGCACAGAATATTAACAATAGTTCTTAAATGGAGGTTTGCTAGATTATCTCGCACTTAGTAACAGTGTTTTGTACGGACAACGGAAGATACAGCACTAACCGAGAGGATGCAAATTAGAGTCTGTAACTTGGATACCCCAACAATCCAAAATAAAGCAAGAAAAAAGGAAGAAAAACAGAATGAGTCAAATAACATCTATGTGTATAGAGTAAACAAGATTAGAATACAAAGTGCACTAACTCCCACTGAGAAAGTCTTTAAAAATCAAAATAAACCTGCCGGAAACAATGCTCTTGGTGGTCAAACTGTTTTGTTCCTTGATGAACCAAAGGTTAAATCTTTGTTTAAGATGAGGAGGCACTCGATTTCTGGTTTTGTTATTGATGTCTCATATGAAATATAAATGCGCAAAACCAACAATAGTGTAACCCAATATAAACAGTGTTCTACTTTCATATAAGAATAAAATCACACTCACAAAGCAGGAGCCTCCAATCAGCTATTAGATGAAGCTTAGAACCTGCTATCGTATGTGACTTTAATTGTCCCTATTGGAAGTTCACGGTGCAGTCGGTATATGAAATGAATAAAACAAATATAGTGCTTTCTGCTTAGGATGATAATAGTTATAGACTTAGGACAAATCTTTTTACCTTTTTTGAGAGCACCAAATGCTCAATGATATTAGCTTAGGTGGCATCATCTCCACCATGGCTATATGTAGGTAAGTGGGGTAGATATAGCAATGACTGTAATGATGGGTGCGGGTGTTGGGGGACTCTAGATTTTGCCCTATTTAATATTAATTTTTAAGGCTCCCACCCATCACCCAGTCGCCATTTTTAAAGATTTAGCAAACATGCAAGTGAGGGCATGGAGAGGTAAACAGCCCCATCATGTTAATACAGGGATCTTTTTGACCCCACAGGATTTTTATTTATGATTTTTTTTCCATTTTTGTTCTGACTTTTTTCATGTGGCAGCTGAGTAGCTCTAAGTGTTGGGGTGCCACCAAATTATTAATCCTCGCAGAGCGAAGGGCTTCTTAACTATTTTCCTGCTGTTTTTTTAATGCTGCCAATGGGCAAATAGTACAAATATCAATTCTCTGTGAAAATCAAGTGAATGATAAATTGTAAACGTGCAACTTAATGGATGTATTTGATTTATCTTTGGCCGCTGTTCGGTCATTGATAAATCTTTCATTCCTTTGCTTTATTTTGGTTTCGATATTGATATTAGTGAATGTTACAGAGTTGGTCGGACCAACCAAATCCTGACCGCAGTTAGCTTTAGTAAATCTGCGAATTGCCAATGCAACCAAATTCCAGTGTTAGTGAATAACCCTTTATTTGTAGAGTATAAATTAAATATATATAAATATTGGCAAAAATCATTCACTGAAATTAACATTATAAACTTGTGTGTGTATATATAGAAATTCCCAATAGACTATAGGAAACAAATTGTTAATATTGTTTTATCAAAATAATAATATGGGAACGGAGGAGATAAACAATGGGTACTATAGGTGGGGTGGAGAATCTCCCAAGCTGCAGGTAATGTGAACGTTTGCTGGAAGTAGTGAATATTAAGGGTTAGAAATGAATTTGTTTCTGTTGGATGGATGGGTGGAAGGTAGAACTCTGAACAGGAATGGCATTAATCACAGATAAAAAAAAAACACCCCAAAGCTAGAAAATGTAAATTATATATTGGTAATCCACCTTTGACAGCAGACTATGATCTATTCTGTTGTGTGAAAATATTTGAAATCCCCAATCATCATGTTCCATACAGTGTAATGATCTGGAATTCTTCTTCTACAGATCACAGAGATTTACGGTTATTGGGTGGACCTAACTCTTGTTCTGGATATCTGGAGATAAAACATGTTGACAACTGGGGTTCTATCTGTGAATTAGATGAGGAGCTGAGAACAGCCAATGTTATCTGCAGAGAGCTGCATTGTGGGATAGCAGTCCCGCCCCCAAGGAATGTCACATACACAGAGAGAAAAGGCGAGATCTGGAATGAAGACATTAAGTGTGTTGGTAATGAGGCCAGTCAGTTCCAGTGTCCTACTGTTCCCAGACATGGGAGTAACTGTACCAACCCATATTATCCTGTCGTCAACTGTCTGGGTATGAATATTTTTTATTACTGTACTAAATTCACCCATGTATGTTCAATATTCTCTGTTTCTTTGTGCTGGTATGTGCTATTACACATTTACAATTATGAAATGTATTCTATATGCTGTATCGTTAGATCCCAGCAGCCATACAGTCTGTATGTTTGGGTGAGTGCAGCCTTTCTCTTCTCTATATATTATATTGCAGTCTGTTAAACTCCTGGCTCAGCAACCCCGCCTGTCACATCGGCCTTATTACCTAAATTAAACCTTACCTGTGGAGAGCACCAGGGATACATGTCATAGGTACAAAGTGGGATCTGAGAACAATAGGGTTCTCTGTAAATAATGATTGGATTATTCAATCATGGCAATATCTTGTAACTTAATCCTAAGTAAAGATATCTATACTTTATAGAAATATAGAATATGACGGCAGATAAAATCTATTCGGCCCATCTAGTCTGCCCAATTTTTATATTGGGGCTTAGGGACTTTTATGGAACTGGTGCTGGCCCTTTAAGCACATTTTTGGGACATAGACAAAATTGGGACACTGCCCAGACTTGTTGGGGACACTGCCCCTTTAAGCCAGTGTCCCCAGTGTCCCCAAACTTGTTAAAAGTACTTTGTTCATGGCTAATTCCCACTTGGTTCAGTAAATGAGGCTTACTGAACCAAGTACCACACAGGCGGACCACCCAGAAGAGGAAGTGTGCAGGAAATTTACCTCCCAGGCTGGGAGCCTGCTGTAGGTAAATTGCTGAATGCTGGTTGTCAACGTTCGCGCAAACGAACACGTGGCGGCACCATCTTTATTCATTCAAATATGGTTTTGATCTACTGAACGGATTTCTATGATTTTTGAAGATTTTTGTTTATATTTATTTTATGAAGATTGGATGCGTGGTTTTAAAGTTCTAGTACAGGTATAAAAACTGTATTTTTCCTGCCTGTGATAATTATGTTAACCATTGTGTACCATAATTATATCACAGACAGAGGGGGAGGATTTTGTGTGTAATTGCTGGGAGTGTTTTCTGTAATGTATGTGTTTATTGGTTGTTCTGTAAAACCTGCATAAAAGAAGGCCCTTTGGGTGCCAATAAAACAGAACGACTTGACCCTCTAACTTGCAGCCTCGACTTATGTTTGGAGGGGACAGCTATAA